TGATGACACAGTAGACAGGGATAATTATGTGTATATAATGTTACACCTAAAACAACCCACTGAAGTTGCTATACAAAAGATATACTCAAAAACACCATCCTTTATAATAAAGAGCTGCTATACTAATTAGACTGGATGGAGGAACAACTTCTGGAGCAATCTTCTGGAATGACCAGTGGAAGGGGGGTGGTGCCACGGGGGGGCCACAGGGCAGCCAGAGCTTCGAGGGCTAAGCCCCTTGCACAAATTTCATGCGTCAGGCCTATAGTAGATAAATAAAAACCAAATTATTAAAAAAAAAAAAAAAGTTCAATAAGCCACAGAAAAGAACAATAAAATAAACAAAAATTAAGAACAGAAAAAATAAATAAAATAACCCCCCAAAACCCCTCCCATATTACTAGAGGCTGAATTTTGTCCCCCTTCCCCCTGCCCAAAATTCATATATTGAAGCTCTAACGCCTAATGAATTTGGAGATAAGGCCTTAATTAGGGTGAAATGAGGTCATAAGTGAAGGACCCTAGTCTGATAGGATTAGTGTCCTTATAAAAAGAGAAAGAGCCCTGGCTGGTTTTGTTCAGTGGTTAGAGCATTGGCCCTCATATCAAGACATCTCAGGGTCATTTCTTGGTCAAGGGCACATACCTTGGTTGCAGGCTGGACCCCTGGCCCTGGTCAGGGTGCAGGTGAGAAGCAAGGCAGCCATCTGCAAGCCAGGAAGACTCACCAGCCTTCCTTCATATTGCACACGTGCCCATGGCTCTCCAGCTGACCTTCCCGGCCCTCACTCCTCTGCCCTGGTCACTGGCCCGCTGCCGGCCTGCAGGACAGCACAGGGGCCAAGCTCCTTGCTTTCAGCCCCGCCCCGAAAGCCAGGGAGGCGGGCGAGGTCAGAGTTTTTGTGCCCTTGGCTCCCTCCCTGAAGGTCACCGTGGGCTGGCTGTGCCCCTTGACTGGGGGAACTGCCAGCAAGTGGAGACTGCTAGAGCTCGCTGTCCTCCTGAGCTGATAACCGCATCCCTGTCTCTTCAGGCCTTGGGGAGCCCAGCTGCGAGCCAGGTGCCTGCACCATCCTGCACCCGCTCTTTGTAAACACTGCCTTGTAAGCAGACTCTCCGCGGACTAGCCTCCTTGGAGTGAGCCCTCTCTGCCGTTGTGGCCCTGACACAGAGGAGGCCTTGCTGCTCCTTCGCTGCCCAGAGGCCCTCGGAACCCTCATATGAATGAAACTGGGGGAGGGGAGGGGTAGCGAGCACCTGTCTGGGCAGGATTCCTATAGGTCTGAGGCCTCTCCACGCTCTGCAGCCCCGGGGACGGTCTGGCCAGGGTGGCAGGAAGCACGAGGAGTCACCCGGGCCCTACTTCAGGTGGAGTGAGGCCTCTTGGGAATGGCAGGCACTCCCTGCGAAACCAAATGGGGAAGGGGTTAGACTCCACCCTCATCTGTCATCTCATTTCCTTAATCTTACTCTGCACACAGAATTACTTGACGAGATGATTGAAATATGATTTTCCTAAATAAACATTGAGATTAAATACAAGTCTTGTCTGTTCCTTTCACACCAATGTGTGCATGAGTCAGGAAACAGAGAGGACCTGGAACTCAGGAGAGAATCACACGCACGCACACACACACACACACACACACACACATGCACACGCACATGCACACGCACACGCACACGCACACACCCCGCTGTATATTTGGGTTTCGTTCCCATTGTCTTTAATGGTAAAAGAAAACCTCCAACTAGAAGCCAACACATTCCCGGAAGCGGTGGTACTGCCCGGAGGGCTGAGTTCTCCCTGCAGGGTGGGCGCCCTCCGGGACACAGAGCCAGTTCTTGGATGGTGACCAATAGGGCTGTGTGACCTTCAAAGTCAATTTCAGCTCCAAGTTCAACTTTTAAAACAAGACACGCTAGCCGGTTGGCTCAGTGGATAGAGCGTCAGCCTGTGGACTGAAGGGTCCCGGGTTTGATTCCAGTCTAGGGCACATACCTTGGTTGCAGGCTCAAGGCAACCAATTGAAGTGTTTCTCTGTTGATATTTCTATCCATTTTTTCCTGTCTCTTCTACTCTTTCTAAAAATCAGTGGGAAGCCGAAACCGGTTTGGCTCAGTGGTAGAGCTTTGGTCTGCAGACGGAAAGGTCCCAGGTTCGATTCCGGTCAAGGGCATGTACATTGGTTGCGGGCACATCCCCGGTGGGGGGTGTGCAAGAGGCAGCTGGTTGATGTTTCTCTCTCATCGACGTTTCTAGCTCTATCTCTCTCCCTTCCTCTCTGTAAAAAATCAATAAAATATATTAAAAATCAGTGGGAAAATATCTTCAGGTGACGATTAAAAAAAAAACAACCTACACAAGACATTGAAGAAAGAGAATCCTTTGTTGTACCACTTGGACTAGATAACCCAAAACCTAACACTTTCTCTCTCCCTCTCTCTCTCTCTCTCTCTCCCTCTCTCTCTCTCTCTCTCTCTCTCTCTCTCTCTCTCTCTCTCTCTCTCACACACACACACACACACACACACACACACACGCCTTTTGGGGTTCCGTTCTGCCCCACACTCTCTGTCCTTTCAGCCCTGGAGCTGGCCCGTTATCCCTGGCCACCTCCCTCCCAGGCACTGGCGTCCCCTGTGTATGACATGTGACCCTCCCTTTCTCCCCACTGCAGTGGCTGTGCGGCGCCAGGAGACCTGCGGGCACTTCTCCCTGCTCCAATCTGGATGAAACAAAACCCTCGCGCTCAGAGCACGGCCGTCTCCAGGGGCCTGGAAGCTGTCCAACTAGCTGGCCCACTTCCTGCCCGGGGCCCTGTCTGTCCTCCCCCTGCTGTGACCAGCCCAGGCCCGCCCGATGCACAGCTTCTCCATACCGGGCAGGCCTGGCCCCGACCAAAGCTCACCCCGGGCTAGACTGGAATTTCAAAGGGAATTTCCTGTCAAACAAGCAGAATGGAGAACAATGGGAGGAAAAATGAAAATGAAACCTGACAAGCCTTCGAGCAGAAGTTACGAAAGGAAGCGTGGGCAGTGTGGTGGAGGGCTGCCCACGCTGATGAAGTGAACACAATCTAGAAACTTAAAGCATAGAACTGACCCAGGGTCTGGGATTAGTTCTGAGCCTACATTTAGCGATTAACACCCTGCACCCTTCTCTTCCAATCCATGATCCTGCTCAGAGAATAACCATTTGGAATTCACGAGCTCTCCCCTCCCCATGCCCTCCTCAAACTCCTCCCCAAGACGCCCTGAGCCCAGGGTCCGAGGGGAAACCACGGGGTGGAGGCCACCGGTCCACTGACTAAACAAACACTGAGCACGACTTGGGACATGGAGTCTCAATGGATGGAGCTCTGCCCACTCTCAGGCAGGCCCGGCCCCACAGACACTGTCCACACCCCCAACCCTGAACAGCGCACACAGGAGGGCTCCACATCTGCCCCCAGCTCTTCAGACTCCCCACCCGGCCCCCCGGCCCCGGCCCTCCTGCCAGTCCGCTGCCGGGCTGAGCTCCCGGCTTCCCTTCTCTGCTGAAGGCCAGCACCCAGCTCTCCTCCCAGACGGGGCTGCACAGCAGTGATCTGTGTGCGGCAGGCGGGCCCTTCACTGGGCACAAACAGCACGTGGCTTCCGCAGTCTGAAACCAGCCCCCAAAGGGGCGCCCCTTGGGTTGGGTGGGGGAACAGAGGCTGGCTCTGAAGAGCAGTGGCTCCCCGCACCAGGGGCCTCAGGACAAAGCAGACTAGTTCCTTCGCTCAGGGAGACAGCCATCCTCTTCTAAAGAATCTGCTCCTGGTCCTGGCCGGGAGCTCCAGGGGTCAGAGCTCTGTCTGGATGTGCCAGGGTTGTGGGTTCCATTGCTCATCAGGGCACACACAGGAAGCAGCCAATAAGCACAGGGATGGGTGGAACAGATCGATGCCTCTCTCTCTCTCCCCCTTAAATAAATCTTATTGATTTGAGGGGTACAGGGCACAGAAGAAGTGACTCCCAGAACTCAGGGCAGAGGCTAAGCCCCGCCCCTGGGTCCGGACTGAGGGCCTGTCGGTTGTGATGGGGATGTCGGTTGTGATGGGGATGTCAGGTTGTGATGGGGATGTCGGTTGTGATGGGGATGTCAGGTTGTGATGAGGTCTGTCGTGGTGGTGATGAGGATGTCGGGCTGTGATGAGGATGTCGGGCTGTGATGGGGATGTCAGGTTGTGATGAGGATGTCGGGCTGTGATGAGGATGTCGGGTTGTGATGGGGATGTCGGGTTGTGATGGGGATGTCGGTTGTGATGGGGATGTCAGGTTGTGATGAGGTCTGTCGTGGTGGTGATGAGGATGTCAGGCTGTGATGAGGATGTTGGGCTGTGATGGGAATGTCAGGTTGTGATGCGGATGTCGGGCTGTGATGAGGATGTTGGGCTGTGATGGGGATGTCGGGCTGTGATGGGGATGTCGGGCTGTGATGGGGATGTCGGGCTGTGATGGGGATGTGGGGTTGTGATGGGGATGTCGGGCTGTGATGGGGATGTCAAGTTGTGATGAGGATGTCGGGTTGTGATGGGGATGTCGGGCTGTGATGGGGATGTTGGGCGGTGATGAGGATGTCGGGTTGTGATGGGGTCTGTCGGGGTGGTGATGGGGATGGAATGAAATGGTGCATGTGGAGCACCTGACACAGAGTCTGGCCCCGAACGCTGAGGAACTGGTCACAGCTGAAGTCACTGCCGGGGTGAGATAGGTTTACAAGGATAAGCTCATCTCACCCTCATCGGATCCTTGAGGAAGCAAGATGGATGTGCACCCCTTCCCCTGCTCCGTGAGTCCATCCCATCCCACCACAGCTCACTTTCTCCTTATAAATTACAATTACTGCCCCAGATTCTGTCTTTCGGGATGGAGAAATGGGAGAACTCCTCCACTTGAGTAAGAGAGCATCAACCCCTGCCCCAACGCTGCCCATAGCCCTCCCCGGCGCCTCAGGAAAAGACGGGGACAAGCAATGCTTCCACGGCATTTATTCCTCAGCAATGTCACCAGCGCCTCACTGCCCGAGGGTCTCAGCAGGGCCCCGAGGAGGAACATTGGGCTCCTTCCCCAGGTTATGTTCACCCCAGAAACACAGCCTTGGGCAATCACTTATTTACAGAATATTCCCAGAAATGAGCTCCTCCAGGTTGCTAAGGGTTACATGGGGAGGAGACTGGGAAACTCTAAGAATTGGACAGAGAATCCATGGGATTCCAGGGAACTCAGAGGTCTGAGGAGAGGGTGCAGACATCACGAAGAGTGTGAGTGGAAGCTGCAGGATCCCGCCTCTTAGGAAATGTGCCGACCTGCAGGAGAAATGGAAAGGAGACAACAGGCTTCAAACCAACCTGACCCCAATCTTTGTCTCTAGGACCATCATGCCAGACCCCTTATTACAGGGACACTGAAAACCCCGGAGCCACCCGCAGCCTCTTCCCTGTGGACCAGTGGTTCTCAACCTTCCTAATGCCGTGGCCCTTTAAGACAGCTCCTCATGTTGTGGTGACCCCCAACCATAAAATTATTCTCGTTGCTACTTCATAACTGTACTTTTGCTACTGTTATGAATCGTAACATAAATATCTGTGTTTTCCGATGGTCTTAGGCGACCCCTGTGACAGGGTCATCCAACCCCCAAAGGGGTCTCGACCCACAGGTTGAGAACCACTGCTGTAGATACTCCACTGGGTAGAAGAGGAAGGTAGGCACAGCCAGGAAGCAGCTCCTTATCCCGAGTGGTGGCTAACTCACGCTCTTGGCCTGATCCGGTGGAAGCTCGCCCCTCCAGAAAGCACCACTAGCTGAACCCAACGCTGACCCCTCAAACTGCACCCCTCCCAAAGGGCCCGAAGGCAAACACACCAACACAGATGTTACCTTCTGGATAAGTGGACCCAGCAAGGACAGTATAGCCTAGGAGAGGAAAATAGTTGATTAGAGGGAAGTGTTTTTGATTAAAGTATCTGGCATGATTCATAGCAAATGTCGTAGCCATGGGAGACCCAATCACAGACAGCAGTGAGCGGGGACTGGGAGTTCAGGAAGGCCACTCACCACCAGTGGGGCCAGCTCTCCGCCAGCTGAGCAAACCCAGGGAGAAGATGATGAGGCCCAGGACCAGGACCACCACAGACAGAGAAACCTTCACTGTCTGCTCCGGGGACAGTCCAGGTGCTGCAAAAACAGAAGCTTACTAGAACCAATCTCTACTGCAACTTTATTTATATCCCCGGAGCAACTTTATTTATATCAACCTCCACCTAGCAGATTCAAAGGTCTAGCTCACACCACCTCACTCCTCAAAACTCCCAGCCTGTGACTATTTCTAGAATATTCCTAGGGGACCCCTAGAGTTAGCGCCCTGGCTTCCAGCTCCTCTCAAATATGGTGGGGCCTCTCTTCCTTCACCCCAGGGGCACCCTCACCAAAGAAGAAAGGGTTCCTCACTCCCCTTCCCAGTGACCCATGGCGACAACATCTGCTCCCTTACTCGCTCTGAGTTTTTCCTATTTAAATGTCTTTACACCTTTCCTAACTTCCAGTGGTTCTATTCCACAAGTCACGTGTCTCCTGGCCACATCCGGATTTCCCGTGTGTTCTTCCAGAACCTGTCTCCAGCCCATTCACAGCCTAGAGCTGATGCTACGCTAGGTCCTGTCCCACCTGACTCCTGTCCCATGTTTATGACCCTCCACCAGCAGAGGGATCTTGGGAGGCAGGCTGTGCAGGAGACGCCCAGGAGAGCTCAGGTGAGCCTGTGGGTTCCACTCTGCTCCTCATGCCCTTCTCGGCTGCCCAACAAGACACACGCTTCCCACCGGGAGACATCTGCTCCCAGCAGCCAGTGTGGCACCCTGCTCCCCGGCCCTTTCTACACACTTCCTCTTCCTCATTTCTTCCTCTTCTCTTTCCCCAGGATCCCCACATCTGTGTGCAACTTCTCCCAGTTCCTTTCACTAACTCCAATCTCGGGGTTTGAGCAATCATGACTGGTTCCTTGTTCTTTAGCCCCCAGCATGCACACCCAGGCACCCACCAGCCACAGCTTTCCCTCTGGATAGAGCAGCCCGAGCCCAGCACCACCCGGGGCCAGAAGACAGCCCCCTTTCTTCTGCAGCCTCCTCTTCTCCCCCAATTCCCATTCCTGACCCGACAGCAGAACAGTGGAAACCTAAGGACCCTAGAATATTGCATCGCAATTTTTGGCTCTGAAATCTACATCCTCTTTTCAGGGCAGCCCTGTTCCCCACCCACCTCAGACAAGCACATGACATCAACCACACAACCATCACAATGGCAACAATAACTGGCTCTCCGTTCCTGTACCCATTGCCCCACCTCCAGTCACAAGTCCTCCCTAGCCCCTCCAGACCCACTTCCCATTCTCCATCTCCCTCTCTCCCATACACCGTGGGCCTCTCCACATCCCACTCCCTCTGCGGAAATATTGGTGTTCACTCCCAACCACCACATGCAATAGCTCTCTGCTTTAACCCTACTTCCACCTCCCCCCCACCCACCATCCCCTACCATGCACTCACTCCAGTCCTGAAGGGTGAGCTCAGGAGTCCCAAAGTGTTCCACCACACAGGTGTAGGTGTCCCCGAAAGAGGGCGCTGTGGCTAAATGGGAGACGGTCTGGTAGGTCCAGTCTCCATTGGGCTGGACAATCTTATGGGCGCTGCCGTGAGGGGAGACAAGCTGCCCGTTCTTCATCCAGGTGACAGTCACGTGGGCCGGGTAGAAGCCCCACACGTAGCAGGCCAGCATCACGGGCTCCCGGGTGTTGAAAGGTGTGGCTTTGGCTACCTGCACAGACGGCGGCCCTGCACGGAGGAAACGGGGTCAGGAAAGAGGCAGAGCCTTTTCTCCGACCTGGCTCCTTCCTTCTTGCATTCTTTTTTTTTTTTTATGTTTGTTTGGGTTTGGTTTGGTTTGGTTTGGTTTGGTTTGGTTTGGTTTGGTTTTTCCTTCTTTAATTCTTCATGGAGTTTGCCAAACCGCCCTCCCCACGCCCACCCAGGCCACCACACATCCCTTTGAAATAAGGAATTAAGATTTACTCCTGCTTTGCTCTTTATTTCCTCCCATTCCTTCACTGCCCCTCCCGTTTTTTCTTCTCCAAAATCATGTTGGATCACAAAAGCATGAGCCGGGTCTGAACTGCAAGCTGTTTCGGGTGCCCTATATTTATCTCAGAAGCATAAGCTGACAGTGGTCCCGCGTCATCAATTAGGGCTTATGTGAGGTAGAAAAAGACTATGTCCTCAAACCTCATTCAACAAATTAATTTGCTGCCAAAGCCAGTTTGGCTCAGTAGTAGAGCGTCAGTCTGCGGACTGAAAGGTCCCAGGTTCGATTCTGGTCAAGGACATGTACATTGGTTGCGGGCACATCCCTGGTAGGGGGTGTGCAAGAGGCAGCTGTTCGATGTTTCTCTCTCATCGACGTTTCTAGCTCTCTATCTCTCTCTCTTCCTCTCTGTTAAAAATCAATTAAAAAAATAAAAAATAAAAAATAAATTTTTTTAAGAATAAACAAATTAATTTGCTAAATAAAGCCCTTTTCCTCAGATAATTTAAGGAAACAAGCCCAGCTCAGGACTCTCTTCAATTTGGATAAATGTAGTTCAAATTAATGCTGTTGTTAGTGTGCACGTTTTTACTAGTTTACTGCTTGCCTCTATCTTGGTGCTTTTCAAACAAAATCCCAGAAGTCGTGGTAACATGCAGATCCCCTCGGGGAATCCCCAGGGGTTGTCATTCCATGAGTCTGAGGGGCTCGCAAGGGCTGGCACTTTTCAGGAGCATCTTCCCCCGGCCATTCCGAGAAAGGTGGGCCAGAGACCACACCTCAGGACACAGTCCTCTGCCCTTGGAGACCAAGTCTCCTTAGACCGCTCTGAGTCATTCTGTGCAGAGAGCACACCCCAACCGAGGCTTCCCTCAGCTCCCTGCCCAGGGCCACCCCAGCCCTGTAAGCTCAGATCCTGGGACAGAAAGGGGTACACGTAGGGAAGCCATCCTGGCTATGCTGACACGCCCGCCCAGCGAAGCTGGGACCTGCCCAGAGATGCCTGCCTAGGAGGAAAGCAGCGGCTGTTCCCTCCACAGCTGCATGCGGGCTCAGGCATCTCTCCCTCCCTGTGCCTCCTCCACCCGCGCCCACCACCTGTGTTCGCTTTAGGGCCAACCCTCCCCCTTTTTACATCCAGGTCCACACGCTTTCTGGCCAAATCCCAAACCCCTTGCCTGCAAGGCTCCTCCCTGGCCTCCCCTCTCTCAGCTGTGCTCCCTAACAGCCCCTCCGCACCCCTCTCTCCTTACGCGTCCTTTGGGTCAGGGATCCCCAAAAGGGCTGTGTGTGTTTGGCACACTCCTGGAGCCCCACAGACAAGCGCTGGCGCAGGATTTCCTGGTTGTTGAGGAAACCTGAGAGTTGAGTGGCCAAGGAATTCAACATCCCGAATTCAAGAGGGACCATTGCTCCCTCCTGTGGATCCCAGCAGGTCAGCAAATCCTTGTTGAAGGAGATACAGTAAGAGAAATCCTGTGGATTCCCATCATCGTCCAGCAGACAGGAGCTTTCCACGTGGGCCACGAAGCCGCCTGCAGAAGCCAGAGGAGAGGGCGGGGCAGAAGCCAGGGTCAGCGACACCCGGAGACCAGACACATGGGTCCCACCTCGGGCAGCATCTACTGACCAAGCCTTGAACTGGAGTCCCCAGGAGCCCCAGCTAAGGGATGAGATGGAGCAGCAGGGATGTTTTTAGAGCCTGTTTCCTCCTTATGTGAGACCAAGTATGGGGACAGGAGTGGCCCAAAAGTATCTGCATGTTTAAAAATGACCATTACTGAGTGAGAGAAGGGGTCACGAGAAAGAGTCAGCCTTGCTCTGTAGTGGATGTGTCACTAAACAGCCACTCCGTACATATTCAGGAAGCTCTGCCGGCACTGAGGGAGGAGCGGGGAGTGCAGCCCTCGCCTCCATCCCAGCCCGAGGTCCTATCACACAAATGATTCCACAGCTTCGTTACTAGCAAAACCCCTACCAAGGTGCAGTGCAAGTGCCATCGGAGTATGTAGCAGGGAGACAAACCAGTCAATGCGTCCAAACCCAATAACAAGCCCCCTGCCCAGGCATAGCACGGGAGCAGAGAGAGGCGGGTCCCAGGAAGGAATGTCCTTACCTGCTCCGGTGCAGCCCAGGCCGAGGCCCAGCAGCAGCCCCAGGAGTGTGCTCATGGTCTGCCTGCGGAGACGCGGGGCATTCCCTTCCAGGGTCCTTGAGTCCCAGAAACCCCAGCCTGGGTGTTGATCTCCAGACCCTGAGCAGAATGTGGTATTGCCCGTGCCCCTTGATCCCCAATAAATAAGTGATAGATACTAACTTGTTCCTACCAGCTCACCCAAGTCGTGTCCCAAACTAAGGGTTGCCAGATTGGCTAGATAGCCGGGGGACAAACATAGAGACAAATCGGTGTGTGCCTCAGAGTAGCGTCATCAGTTGCTAGGTAAATCTCATCTTGCCCTGGGCTCTAAACAACTCCTGGTCTCTTAGCTCTTACTGTGGAATGGAATATCCTGTCTGCATGTGGATTTCCCTGGGTCGGTGGTTAAGCTGGTTAAGCTGTTTCCTCTCAAGGTCCTCCCCAAAGACCGACTAGATAGCATATTTTGTTCCTTAAAGGGAGGGAGGTTGGGAAGATATTCCATAACTCTGGGTCTGCCCTGTCACCCAGCAGGCCGAGGACAAGGAAGGGACCTTCTGGGGCAGGTGACAGAGGCAGGATGCGGAGAAGGAAGGAGGCACGGGAGAGCGTGGGTTCCCTCTGGCCTCACACAAGACAGCAGAATAAAGGAGGCTCCCCAGGGTCAGGGACTTGGCCTGAAAACCCCCCTGGGCCTCCCGTCTTCCTTTGTCCGGCCAGTGGAGTTTCATGTCCTCCTTTCTGCTTCCTGGGGCAGGAAACCCTACCTCCTACACCCTGAGCCCCCTCAGGGCAGCCAGCAGTCCAACTCTGCTTAACCCCTTGATAAATGCTGGTGATGGGCCAGTGCCCAAGCTCGCCTGTCTGCCCCAACCTCGAAACTCCCCTGTGTGCTTCCCCCACTGGTCCCACCTGAGCCAAGGCAAGTCCCTGCATTATGAAGCCATGAGAAAAATAAGATAAATCCTCCCTACTTTTCTTCCCCTGGGAAAAAACAGAATTTATTTTTAAATTAAATTTATTGGGGTGACATTGGCTAATAGGATCATATAGGTTTCAAGTGTGCATGTCTATGATACAAAAATCTATAAAGACATTGCACTGTGTGCCCGCCACCCAAAATACAATCATTCTCCATCACTATACTTGGCCCCTTAACTTTTACCCTCCCTCACCTCCTTCTCTCTGGTAACCACCATACTGTTTGCTGTCTGTTTTCTATCCCACATGTGAGTGAAATCATATGGTTCTTAGCTTTTACTGACTGACTTCTTTCACTTGCCATAATATTCTCATGTCCATCTATGTTATTGCAAATGATGCTCTTTCATCTTTTCTTGTGGCTGAGTAGTGTTCCATAGTGTACATGTACCACCTTTGCTTTATCCAATACTCTACCGAAGGGCATTTTGTTGTCTCTATATCTTGGCCACTGTGAATAATGCTATAATGTACTAGGGTTGCTTATGTCCTTGGAAATGAATATTTTCAAGTTATTAAAGTAGATACCCAGAAGAGGGATTGCTGGTCGTATGGTAATTCTATGCTTCGTTCTTTGAGGAATCGCCAGACTGCTTTCCATGGTGGCTGTAGCAGTCTACATTTCCAGCAGCAGAGAATGAGGCTCCCTTTTCTCCACAGCCTCTCCAACACTTGTCATTGCTAGTCTTGTGGATGGTAGCCGTTCTAACGGGTGTGAGGTGGTGTCTCATACTTCTTATTTGCATTCCCCTATAGCTAGTGGAAATGTATCTATCGGCCATTCGTATGCTTTGGGAGAAGTGTCTGTTCAGGTCCTCTGGCCACTTTTTAATTGGGTTGTTTGTTTGTTTGTTTGGTGTTGAGTTGTATGACTTACTTATATATTTTGGATATTACCCCCTTGTTGGAGCTGTTGTTGGCGAATATCTGCCATTCGGTTGGTGCCTTTTTGTTTTGTCGTCAGTTTCTTTTGCTGTGCAGAAGCTTTTTGTTTTGTTACAATCCCATTCATCTATTTTTGCCTTTACTTCCTTTGCCTCTGGGATCAAATTCATAAAATGTTCTCTACGACCAACATCCATAAGTTTAGTACCTAAGTTTTCTTCTATGTAATTTCCTGTTTCAGGTCTTATATTTATGTCTTTGGTCCATTTTGAGTAAGATTTTGTACATTCATTACAATCTGTAATTCATTCATTTGCATGTGGCTTTCCAATTTCCCCAGCACCATCTATTGAAGAGGCTTTCTCCATTGTGTGCTTTTTGTTCCTCTGTCAAAAATTATTTGCCCATATATATGTGCTTTTATATATGAGCTCTCGATTCTGTTCCATTGGTCCTTCTGTGTGTAGGTTTTTCTACCAGTACCGTACTGTTTTGATTATTGTAGCTCTTAGTAAAATCTGAAGTCAGGCAGTGTGACACATCCAGCTTTGTTCTTTTTTCTCACATTTGCTTTAGCAATTCAGAATCTTTTGTGGTTCCATACAAAACTGGTGGTTTCTCATTCTGTTTCTTTAAAGAAGGACATTGGTATTTTGATGGGGATTGCATTAAATCTGTATATTGCTTCGGGTAATATATCCATTTTAACTATGTTGATTTTTGCCATCCATGAGAATAAAATATCTTTCCATTACCCTGGAAAAGACAAAAATATATTTGGGAGAGGGAGAGAGATAGAAATATCAGTGATGAGAGAGAATCATTGATTACCTGCCTCCTGTACATCCCTCACTGGGCCCTTCTCTACCCCCCCCCCCCCCCCCGGGGATCGAGCAACCTGGGCATGTGCCCCTGACCAGAATCAAATCCGGGACCCTTCAGTCCGCAGGCTGAGGCTCTATTCACTGAGCCAAACCAGCGAGGGTGAAAAGACAGATTGTAAATGTCAATTCATTCTCCTGTCCCATTGTGAGTTCTAGCATTGGTGGCTTTTTCCATCACAAATTTACAGCCTTAACTTGGTCTCTCTCAGCTCCCCAACAGGCTCCAGGGCTGCCTGTTCTCACCGGGCCTCTGAAAGTGCTTGGATTTGGTTTAATAGTGAGTTTAGACAAAAGAGGACGGGGGTGGGGTGGGGGCTGTTGCCACACTTGTCTGTCCTCCATCCCAAGAAATTTCTGATCTTTATGAAAAAAAATGGGGGGAGGAAAAGCATGCACCAAAAGTAACACAAAGGGGAAGGACTGTCAGAAAGAAAGCCTTGTTCCGTATAACTGAGCTTACCGGAGGTGTGCCGTGTTTCCCGGCGCCGGTGATGAGAATGATCTAGAGTAGGGGTGTCGAACTCAATCAGAGAAGGGGCCAAAATCTAAAATCCAGCCTAAATCGCGGGCCGAATGGTTTACTGAACAGTCATAAACTGTCATTGTGATGGAAACGCAGCGGAGTGCAGTGATGACAGTGCGGTGCGGGCCACATTGCAAGGCCTGGTGGGACGGATTTGGCCCGCGGGCCTTGTGTTTGACACATGTGATCTAGAGACTACCTCACCGATGAGCACCCATGTGTTGGAGTGGCAGAAATGGGTGGAGAGTCCAAACGTGCTGAGCTTCTATGTGGTGACAGATACTATAGGTGGGCCTTTTACATGCTGCCTCGCTTAATCTCAAAGACCTGTTAATTGTCCTCATTTTAAGTTTTGGAAACAGGTCCAAAGATACACACCCTAGTCTAGAGGCTTGTGCACACATACACGCGCGCACACACACACACGCGCACGCACACGCACACGCACACGCACACGCACTCGCTGCCCCTGGGACTGAGACGACCCACAAGCTGGTGGTGGCCTCACTGGGGAAAGGAGAAAGGAAAGTGCCCCGCATGCAGCCAGGCCTCCTGTTCTCAGAATTCCTTCTGCTCTCAGAACTAAAGTCCCTTCCACTTTCTCTTTCAACAGCTCCAAACTGGGTGAATTCTGCATGCACACCCGACACACACTCCCCAGACACACACACACTCCCCAAACACACACACTCCCCAGACACACACACACACACACACACACACACACACACACACACGCATGCACGCACGCACATGCACACGCACACGCACACACACACTCCTCGCATCCTCCCTCCCCCTGGGTAGGAGGCGCCCAACCCCGCAGGAACTAGGCCTGGGGCTCCTGTGGACAGAGGAGTGCCCGCACCCGCACCCGCGCCCAGACTCTGTTACTGTGGCCGCGGAGGGATGTGAAAGGGGAGGCAGCGGAGCCGCGGTTTCGCTTCTGTTCCGGGGAAGGCTGCGGCGGTGCAGCCTGAAGGATGGGAACCCCGTGACTGCGCGCGGCGGAGAGGTGCTCCCTCTGACGCTGCTCGTTGTTCCAGACCAGCTGTCCCGCCAGTCACCCCAGGGCCCCGCGGCCGCTGCCGGGGACTGTGTGCGGGCAGCGCAGGCCTGGAGGGGGACAGCCGGCCTCCCGCCGCTGCCCCGTCCCCGCCCCCGCGAGCCCCGCCCCGCGCCAGAGTGGACGGTCCGAGGCGCCCCGCGCCAACTCTGCGGGAAGCCCGGGGCGGGGGGCCTCCGCCCGCCCTTCCGCCCCTCCCGGGGGAGGGAGCCGGCGCCCCAGGCCCGCGGGCTGGGAGGACGCCATCGCGGGCGTGGCGGCGGGGCGGCCTCTGCGGGTGCGGCTGCGGCTGCGGCTGGGTCCCAGAGGGGGTCCCGATGCGGTGGTGGTGCGGTGGCGCGCAGTTCCCGAGAGGATGGCCGAGCGGATAGGCCTCTCTGGGCGCGTCCTTCGCCGCGCCCCCCGCGGTTCTCTGGTTCCCCCAGCACAGGTGCGCTGAGCTCAGCCCCCGCGTCCTGGACTCAGGAGCTGCGCCACCACTATCAGCTGCATCCTGAACGCAGTCGCCCAAGACCACCCTGTGACTTCCTTCATGTCTTCTCAAAACTGCACACACCCGCTTCTGCAGGGCTGCGCTGCTCCCAGGCCGCCAACCTCGCCCGCACGCACCCCCCCACACACACACATTTCCTCACCGGGATTCTAGCTCCAGACCTGACCTCCGGGGCCCAGTGGCTGTAACCAGTTGGTCTTCCTTCCATCCTGCAGCCAAATCGCTTGCACTACCAGGGGGTATGCTGCCTGATTGGCCACCACAGCTCCTGCCCAGCGTGATCTCCATTTAACTAGGAGAGAAGGGAGGCGAGGAAGGGCAGTGCTGCCCAGATTTACCCAGGTACCAAGTAACGAAGCATAACGTGAACTCCAGATTTATTATTCCAAATCCTATACT